GATGGGAGTTTGGGTGAATCAGTCTCGTCTGTGATAGAACTGGCAACTCCAAATAGTGTGAAGAGAGGGAACAAAAGTCGACATTAGGCTTTGCCTTACCAGGGGCAGGTGCAAGACATTGCAGGTGATACGCAAAGGGATGCGGGCGTTTCTCATGAGGTTAGGTGGTGGCGTCTTCTAGCCTTCTTGTGGCTGCTCATGTGTGGCACGACAATAGCAACAAAATGACTATTTGCTGTAGCTGACGACCGAGATATTTGTTGTTTGTTTGGCCGCGCAAACGTAAAAGAAAAGACGGGCGTGATGATAACGATAAAAGATATGACTGAAGCGAAGGAACCGGCGAGTGTACGACGAAGGGGCGGCCAAACCATGTGCAAAGGCTGACCGCAAGGTTTCAGCCCCAAATCCCTTTTCATGGTGTCAGCCTGGAATACTTTAGCCGGTATCTACATCAATCGGGTAGGCGCTAGAGAAGTTAGAGAAGGAACAGATATCCGATAATAGAAAGAACCCGATGGCAGCTAGCTACGCCGCAAAGATGTTGGGTAGCATTGGCGAGATACAGGGCCAGCGGCGGCGACGGCGCGGACGTTGAGTAATCTCGCAATCATATCTTGTAAACGGAGGATGAGGAGCCGATGGAGGGAAGTAGACTGAGCCAGACGTCTGTCGGTGGTCGTGATGTAGGCGCTGGAAGTAGGCAAGATGTAACAACCTTGGGCTTCCACACACCCTCTATTTGCAAGTATTTTCAACAGAATGTTGCTCACTGGCCGGAAATGAGAGCTTGTCGCGAAGGATGGAAACAATGATATCGCAATGTGAGCGGCATGCATGCGGCGGGTGTCAATGGCTGATGACAGATCTGCGACACGATGCACAGTACATCATCAACCATGTTGTCGCACCTAGAGCCTCAACAGCCGCGTTAGAGCATAGTTGGACGAAAGATTGAAATGCTCCCATATGCGCATACGAGATGAGATGTAAGTGGTGTGTTTGTCCATGTACCCTCAGATCTCCGTCGTTATCGATATCGTCATTAGTGTACCCGAAAGGGGCATGGATCAAGCGCGTCAATGCCATCGCCGCGGCTTTAACAGCAACAGCTCCGCAATCATCAGCTTCCGGGTCCTCCCCACGTCCGCCCAATGTCAGCCAATCCAGGTGCACTGAAACGGAAGCACTCGGGCAAGACGATCAAAGAGCTCTTTACCACACAATCCAAGCCAAAGCTCGCCTCCGCAGCGCCGCTCTCACCCACTAGCAAGCGCACACGACGTGACAGCTCTCCGATCCCCACCACCGAGATCCCCACCACCGAGATCGCCACACCCCCAGCGCCGATTACCAAGATGAGCACAGCAGAGATGTATCATTTCCCCAGCAAGAAGGCGGGATTATCGAGCAATGCCGATGTGGTAGACATTACATCAAGCCCCGACAACAGCCCTGCCAAAGCCAACGGGCAACGGAATGGCATGCGCAAAGCAGCGCCCAACATGCATGCCAACAATGGTCCCAAGCGATTGGTGGTCAAGAACTTCAAGCCCACGAGGAAGGTGGACCCCAGGGTCTTCCTGGACCAAACATGGGCGAAGATCGATAAGGCTCTGGACACCATCTTTCGGCAGGGGGATGTAGACTTTAGTCTGGAAGAACTATACAGAGGTGTAGAGAATGTATGTCGCCAAAACATGGCGAAAGACATCAAGGAACGCTTGATTGCAAAATGCAAGGACTACGTGGGTGGGAGTCTGAAGGCGAAGGTCAAGGAGAGTCTGGGAAGGCCAAACATTGACGTACTGCGGGCAACTCTCCAGGCGTGGGTAGTGTGGAACAGCCAAATGGTCAGTAATACCCGTACACGTGCACACGCTGTCTTACTGACAAACTGAAGAAATACCTTGACTGGATCTTTTGCTATCTCGACCGCGCCTACCTACTCCCACGACACGAGTCCCTGCGCGAAATCTCGATCAGCCTCTTCCGCTCCCTCATCTTCGAACACTCCAAATTGAACCCGCGCATTGTCGACGGTGCCTGCGATCTTGTCGCTAATGACCGGATGGAAGGTGACCTGGACAGCGAGATGTTTTCCAAGACGGTCAACATGTTCCACGACATGCAAGTCTATACACGCTCCTTTGAGCCGCGCTTGATGGAGATCAGTCAGGAATACGTTGCGAAGTGGGCAAACACAGAGAGTTCAGAAAAGTCCCTACCCGAATACGTCCGCAGTTCGAAAGCACTCATGGATCGCGAGATGAAGAGGGTCGACATGTTCAGCCTCCCGAACACCACCAAACGAGAGCTCCTCACGTTATTTGAGGACCACTTGATATCGAAGAAGGAGGAGCGACTGACCAATCAAGACGAGCTTGCGGATCTCCTCGAAACCAACGCCATTGAAGATCTTGAGCTACTGTACACGTTACTCGAACGGAGGAAACTTGGCTCAAAGTTACGGCCAGGGTTCACAAAGTGGATTGAGGACGAAGGCACAGCTATTGTGTTTAACGACAAGGAGCAGGATAACATGGTGATACAACTGCTCACATTGAAGCGCCAATTAGACACATTGTGGAAGGCGTCTTTCCACCGAGATGAGGAGTTGGGTCACGGTTTGCGAGAATCTTTTGACAAGTTCATGAACAAGACAAAGAAAACGAGTGCAAGCTGGGGCACGGACAACTCGAAGACTGGCGAGATGATCGCCAAGTACGTGGACATGCTGCTGAGGGGAGGCGCAAAAGCGATACCAGCACAGCTTAGCCGCAAGGCAGACAAGCCCGCTGCTGTAGAAGTTGAAGAAGATAACGAAGAAGGTGTTTTCGATGAAGACACAGAAGTCAATAATCAGCTCGATCAGGTTCTCGATTTATTCCGCTTCTTGCACGGCAAGGCTGTGTTTGAAGCTTTCTACAAGAAAGATCTGGCCAGACGATTGTTGATGGGCCGAAGTGCGAGTGCAGACGCTGAGAGGAGCATGCTGTCGAGACTGAAGATTGGTAAGTGTGTACCTATTTGCGACTTGCTGAGATACTAACGTACTGCAGAATGTGGTGCCGGCTTCACCGCCAACCTCGAGCAGATGTTCCGCGACATCGAACTGTCACGAGAAGAGATGAGTTCGTACAAGAATATTAGTGAGGAACGCAACGAAAAGCTCAGCCTGGATCTCAACGTCAACGTCCTATCTGCGTCAGCTTGGCCTACGTACCCCACAGTCCCTGTAATTCTACCTCCGCAGATCCAGTCTGCGATCAACAAGTTTGAAGCACACTACAAAGTCAAGCATTCTGGTCGCAAGCTGGAGTTCAAGCACGCGCTCGCCCATTGCCAGATCAAAGCCAGGTTTCCCAAGGGACTCAAGGAGTTGGTGGTGTCTTCCTTCCAGGCTATCGTTCTTTTGCTCTTCAACGGCAGAGCGGATGATGAGCACATTGACTACGAGTACCTCAAGCAAGCCACTGGACTACGTAAGTTGCGTGCTAGATCTACTATATCCGTATCACTAACATCTGATAGCGCCGGCTGAGCTTAATCGCACTTTACAGTCCCTAGCCTGCGCAAAAGTCAGGCCATTGACGAAGCACCCCAAGGGCCGAGAGATCAACGAAACCGACACCTTCACACTCAACGCGTCATTCACAGACCCCAAGTACCGTATCAAGGTCAACACCGTCCAGCTCAAGGAAACAGCAGCCGAGAACAAGGAGACCCACGAGCGTGTTGCTGCTGACCGCAACTACGAGACGCAAGCTGCCATTGTCAGGATTCTCAAGGCGAGGAAGAGAATTAGCCACGCGGAATTGGTCAGCGAGACCATCTCAGCGACGAGGAACAGAGGAACATTGGAGGTCAGCGGTATCAAGAGAAACATTGATCGCTTGATCGAGAAGGAGTTCCTAGAAAGAGAAGATGACGGACTGTATGCTTATATTGCTTAGGCTATGCATATTGCCAGCTGGTTTGGATCTCAGCACATACTCTACATAGCCGCAGAAGGCAGGCTTACAGTGTACAACAATGATATTATTATCGTGTTCTATCTATTGCGAAGATTGTACCATGTTCTACCCATCTTCGCGCTCGGTCAGTGAGTGCATGCTGGGCGAGCTGCTTATCATTAGTACCGAACAACGGTCAAGACCGCATCCGGCACTTTTCGCTCAGTAATCGACACCTCTCCCTAGCCGCCGGCATCGCTGCGTTCGCTTCTACTACCATCCGCACTTACCGTCGTGGAGGTCGATCTCCTAGTCTACATGCCTCCTACACCCAATGCCCAGGCCCACCTTCCAAATCCAGCGCTAGTTGCCGCGTTTCCCTGTCGATCCCTAACCGCACTCAGCCTATCGAACACGCACATGTGCACCACCGCCAGATCTCCGGCGATAAGCAGCTTGAAACACATCATCTTAGTTCCGGGAGATAACCGGCGAATCGTTGTCCGTACCTTCCTGATCGGCGGAAGTCGCATGTCCTGGGTGCATGGGATGGTGCTGGGGATGTTGATGCTCCGGTCTTCTTGGTAGTGGGATTTCATGCGTGAGATTGTTGTGGAGCGAATGGGAGGGGGTAACGTGAGAGGGTGGTGGGTGTATGAAAGGACCGAGGGTCTGCGCTTAGTATGGTGTTGTAGGTGCCACGCTTGGAGTAGTAGTCTGTGATAGGTTCCCCTACCCCAGCTTGAGAGAGCCTCCGCTGCATGGCTTCGCGGAGCAATTGTTCTTTCCGGAAAGGTGCTTAGACTCTCTGCGTCCGGGTTTAATTGCTTTCGAGTATGATCTTCCACTTTAGGGTTGAGATGGTTCGGAGGCGACCGCTGGACTACCATTAGACTACATTGGGGTGACAAGTAGTAAGACAGTATAAAGCTACTGTGTAGCACCCTTTGTTTGGAAGACAGGTCTACCAGCCCCGCCGATCCCTCGTTACACAACTCCCGACAAGACACTCGCTCGTCGTCTTATTCTTTCCCAGCCACCAACATGAAGTTCCTCACCAACATCCTCCTCTTCATCGCGCCCATTGCCCTCGCTCTCCCCACTTCGGTCTCCGAAGAAGCACCCGTTGAGATTGCTGCTGTCGAGTCCAGACAATCTTGCTACGTCAAGTGCGGCTCAACATGCTACACTTCATCCCAAGTCTCTGCTGCACGCAGTGCGGGTTACAAGCTCTACCAGGCCGGAGACGAAGCTGGTAGCTCGACCTATCCTCATCGGTATAACAACTATGAGGGCTTTGACTTTTTGGTCTCGGGCCCGTACGAGGAGTTCCCGCTGAGGACTTCGGGTGCCTACACTGGTGGTAAGTTATCTTCATGCTGAGAAGAGGCGACTTGGTTTGAGGAATACATGCTAATTAGGATATTCAGGTTCGCCGGGTGCTGATCGTGTCATCTTCAACACTGCTGGACAGCGCGCGGGAGAGATTACACACACTGGTGCCAGTGGCAACGCGTTTGTTGCTTGCTCCGGTTGGTAAACTTGTTGTAAGGGATTAATCGTGAACACTATAAGAGGGCCGTTGGCGGTATTCGAGGGTGAGCGGCTTGCACGGTCCCAGAATGTAGTGCATCGGCGAGTTGTAACGAGGGATCGATGTGCCTCCCAAAGAACTTTTCACCTGCATCCCTGTGTTGGAGATGGTGGAGGCAGGTTATTCATGTATATACCTTTGTTGAAACGATTGAGTATATCTCCAAGCTTCAAGCTTCTTTTTGAATCGTGATCAGTGCGACTTCAACTTCAGATCGGAATGTGGCGTGCTTTCACGTGGTAGCGCGTCCGGAAGGCACGCTATCTCGTGTTTGTACTAGTGAGCCGCTCAATCCGCAATCTTCCTATCGCGAATTTTCTAGAAGGACGCGTAGGATTTCACTCAACGAACTCATCTCATCCATCATCGCCGTTATTTAGCGTTATGTCACGCGTCACCAGTGCTGAAGATCGTGCGCGACAAGAGTTAGAGGAAGTCGTCACGACCTCGACCCATAAGCGCTTGCGAACAGTCCTGCTTGAAATATGCAACGAGTCGCCAGAAGTCTTTAAGCTAGTACACGATAAGCTATTTGTGAAAGAAGAACAAGTAGGGCGGCCAGCAGTGTCGCTTCTTGATGGGCCACTCGCAGAGAGTTCCGCTTTCAAGCTACCAAGAGCTCAGAAGCGCGGTCGACGCTACGACATTTGCGAGCAATGTGAAAAATAGTTTGATATACTAAAGGAGGAAAAGTGCGTATGGCATCCAGGTAAGACGCTCCCGACCATTAAACCCCATAAGTGTATCACTCACATCTATACAAGGAGACTTGGAGGTGTTTGAAGATGAGGACTTTGGGGCCGATCATGATGAAAATTGCCACGGAGAGATCGATATCGAAGAAATGCGTGAGGAGTATCCTGAAGGTTTCGTCTGGAGTTGTTGCAAGGGGTATGGTGATGCTAAGGGCTGTAGAACGGATCCTCACGAGCCACGCTCTGCGAAGAGAAGCAGGACCAAGAGTCCTAGTGACGAGTCATCATCGGAACGCGATTCTGAATCGGAGTAGAGAGACGCTTGTGTGTCTATTTCAGTGATATCTTTAGTAATAACGGTGTTCATCTTCGATGCCTTCACCGACAACAGTCCCAAGCTGTCCGAAAGCAGCATTCGTCCACTGCGCACGTCCAGAGGAGGGAAGGCTATGCGAAGCGCATGATCATATCGAGCTATATCACTCCGTATTAAACCTTGCTCAAATCAAGCTATCGGATACGCGCGCTTACTGCGTCAAGGGTCCTGAGGTCCTGACTGTGTAACCGCCCAGCCAACAACATAATATCAGCTCAACGTGCACCATGACACCTCATCGCCAACATCATGAGGTCTATAGTTCCCTCTTAAGTCCCACTTGATACCATGTCGTCGCAACAGCAACTGGCAAGATGATCATCCACATCTGACGAAGTGACCGTAGCAGGCAAAAGGGCATCGAAAACCAACAGCATCTTACGTCCGATCAGTGAAGGCAACATTATATCTGATGAGAGAGGCTATACATGTGAAAAGATGTATAAAGTCTATGAAGAGACACACCCAGACAGCTCACAACACATCTTCTCCCACTTCCATATCCACTACATTACAACTCTTTCGAACTATCAAACCTTCCAGTCTAACACCTCAAGATGCATTTCTCCACCGCTATTACCACCTTGTCCGCTTTCGCTGTCATGAGCACCAGCGTGAGTGCCTTCCAGGCCAACTTCGACACCTGGGACGTCCGAGGCTGCATGGGCAGTGGTGACCCAGGACGCCTGAACCACTACCCCACGGTCAACGCGGGCGATTGCGCTCCTCTGCCCAACGCTGCGAGCATCAGAGTTAACTACTTAGAGGGCAACTGCCAAGGTAAGTCTACGGCCCTCAGTAATCTTGGACTTGCGAACGTGACGCTAATGGCGGATGTATAGTGAACCTTTACTCTGGAGACAGGTGCACTGGTGACTTTACTGTGTACAAGAAAGAGCCCAACTACAATCAGTCATGCAAGAATGTTGATGGCAAAGTGAGCTACAAGGTTACTTGCTAGATCATCGCATTCGTTGGACAGTGAGAACAAGTGGTGAATGAGGCGCCTCGTAGACGGAGCTGGCAACGGCGTGGATATTTGGACAGTCATTACCGTTCCTTCTTCTTTTCTGGTGTATCTCACTCCGCTCTTTGTAGATTCTTTTCTGTACGTCTGACCGTCTGTTCAACACGAGACGGAAGCGTACCTAGAACAATCGAACCTTTTAACCCAGCTGTGCTTGACTGGCCATGTGATGATTCGCGGTAGGAAATGTGTGAGTTTGAGGAATGCGCTGCGGTGCTATCCCAATTGATGGAGCCTGCCATACACTCACGCAGTCTTTCTCCACGCGTCAGCCAACAGTGCCCCACCAGCAACCATACCACAAGCACCAACACCCCAGTCACTCAACAAGCCCTGCTCTAGCGACCAGTGAACAGTCATGGGCGCATATGCCAGATTAGACGCAAGATCCTTCCACCACAGCCAGTTTTCCAATTTCCTGGCCTTGATCCGCTCTTCCCTCTGGATCTTATCCTCCTTCTCCCCATCACCCGAGCTCACCGATGTCGACTCAGATGACGAAGCGTAATACTGCTGAACCCCCAAACGCACAAGCTCAACACCCACATACGCAGCCCAGAACCTCGAACTCCACAACCACCACGCGTTTTCCCGTGCTTTACCCACATCGCCCGTCCAACTCGCCGTCGTCAACGCACCCTTTGAGCTCAGGTACGCGCCGTTCTCCAGGACCTGGAAACCAACACAGGACATAATGGCCGTCCACGTCAGCCCTCTCAGTATCTTCTCTTTCCTAGTCGCATCTTCTGGTAACCGGTCTTGATATGTATCCCGCGCCCAAGTATACAAGCCCAGTACACCCCACAACCGCACGAAGATGCGGAAATCGGATATGACAGCCGCAAGCGCTTTTGAACTTCCAACTACTTGTGCGATGATTTTTGTACTCGTGGGCGCTGGGAGGCTGGCTATGAGCGTTTCGCCAGGGAGCAGGACGCCCTCTGCTTTCTCGGCAATTTCTGTAGCGATGGATGCGAGGCGGCGTTCGAGAACGCGGGAGAGGACGGCGTGGATGAAGGTCAGGGTGTACGAGGTTGTGCAGAGGAGGACGTCGGTGCCGCTGGGTGTGGAGAGGAGTTTGGAGAGGCGGACGAGCGAGCGGTCTGCGGTGCCAGCGGTTCTGGCGAGGTATCTTAGGAGAAGGAAGCGCAATTTTTGTATCGTTGTCAATCGCGACGGTGGTGTAGGTGTAGATTTCGCTTCGGGTTGTGGAGTTCGCTGGTTTGCGCTGGTCGAGGAAGGGATGGTAGTGGAGTCCGGATGCGATTCCTCCATGATGAGAAAGTGGGTATTAGGGTAAACGCTCAAGGGAGTCTTGGAGGCGAGCAGAAAGGAGTGTCGGTGCTATCGAGCCTGCATGGTGTTGTTGATTCCGCGCGTAGAGAAAACATGACACCACCCGCGTGTTGACCGAGGTTTGCTCGGGAAGTTGCTTATCGCGTCATCGGCCCGCACGTGGAGCCCACGTTTGGCGACGACCCATCCATCTTCATTCACATGTGACGAGAGATGGACCCTGAGAAGCTCAACCACTAACTTCGCATCACCAGTCGCGTGAGGTCTCGTGAGCCATGGTCGCAGAATCCCATGGCGAAGGCTAGTCGTCATCGACTTTGTTCTATGCCATTTGGGTTTCGTATAGAAAGCTTCGACTCGGCCCACGGCGCGGATCCCTGCCACCTCGTCGTCTTCCCCATATCGTCCCCACTCATACCGCCTCATCTATCGCGGGGAGAAGATACGAGAGCGGGCTCTCTCTCCACCCTCTTATACACCGCCTGGTCGCGTTGAACACTATCGCTTTCGCTCTCACCTCCACCGCCGCAATCATGTCAACCCCAGAGATCCCTACGCGCCGTCCAACCTACCCTCTCGCTCACGCTTTCCGCCGTAAACCGCGTCGTCTCCCTCTCGTCCTCCGCTTCTCCAAGGGCGCCGTGCACGACATCATCCTCATACCCGTGCTCCTCCACTCGCTCTTCACCGTCCTGATCGTGTACATCGATACCCGCTATGTGGACAGCATATCTATCCCGGCGACCATCATACCCTCGCTCTCCATAGTAGTCGGCCTGATGCTAGTCTTCCGCAATAGCACCGGCTATGACCGCTTCTGGACCGGCCGCAACTGCCTCACCACAATCGGAACCTGCGTCCGCAACCTCGCTCGGATCTGTCTCGTAAACTCCCGCGACAAAGACGGCCATGCGACTGAAGAAGAACGAAGAGATACCGAGAACATAGTCCGTGTCCTTGTAGCGGTCTTGTACTCGATCAAACACAACCTCCGCGCGGAGTTCAACATCCCACCCGCCAGTCTGGCTACCTTGCCTCCTCAACCAAGCGTCTACCCAAACCGCTCCCGCCCTGTTTCCAGACGCCCCAGCTACATCGACCGCACTGGTAGTTTCGGCCCGTTCTATCCGCCCATTCTTGCAAACGATAGCACGAGCACAACCCCACTTCTCGGCGGATCGGCTGCCACTCTCGAAAATGGCGATGGCACAACGCCTATGAAGAAGGACGAATACGTGTCGCTCCTTCCGGAAGGCTTGATGGGCTACGAGGATCAAGGTCTCGGTCTGCCCTTACAACTCACGATCCTACTGGAAGGCTACATTCGCCGCGGCCATGACAGAGGCTGGTTCCATGCGCCTCTTTCCTCGCAGATGACTGTTCAGCTAAATACTCTCGTTTCTGCTTACGGCACCATGGAGACTATTCACAGCACGCCCATTCCTGTCGCGCACCTGATCCACCAGAAGCAGGTCCTAGCGTTGTATGCATGTGTGCTGCCATTTGCTATTGTCGATGATTACAGGTGGTGGAGTGTGCCCATTGTGGCTAT